ATAGCCGTCTTTTATCCATCAATGAGAGCATACCTTAGTTTTCAATGGTATTTTTAACAAAACGGAGTGATTTACCTCCTATTAGGCATCTCTGGATGTCCATTATGATATCATGCTTTTTAAATATACTGAATGCAGGGTCCAAGTGTTGCGGGTCAGGGTCCCTATCTGAACCCACAATAAGGCAGTCGTCGATGTGAGTGTTAGCAGATGTAAACCATCGATCATGTCATTCACAATGCGCTGGAATGTTCGTTCTGTATTCCAAGGACTGAACAGCCTATGCAGAATTTCAAACAACTCAGAGTATGCGATATCGGCTGTCTTTGAAATAACTTCTGCTCCCATACATGACTAACTGTACGCTTCGGCCCGAGTGCTCTTGTAAAATATGTCTACGTTTACCCAAAGCCACCCCGAATTACCATTTGAATGCCGTTCACCAACCTTAGCTGTGATGCAATGCATAATATTGCTGGTTATGCAGGGTACAGTATTTGTAGGATGTCCCCCGCCTGGATGTTATCGTCTAACACTGTTTTGAAGAAGAAGTCGGCGGAGTCTTCCGCCTTAACCATGGCTGAACCCAGATCTATGTAGGTGGTTCTGCCAACAGGTTACTTAGTGTTGCTATCTACCACTCGTCCATAGATAGGTAATAGTCTAGCAAATCTATGCCAATTATAGACAAGGAAGAACCAGTAGAAGAAACAGACAGTAAGTAGACTTGTTTGAACCCAAGATGAGACAGATGTACTGATTTCTCTATCGCTTTTCCCGTATTATCTTGCAGATTGAAGCATGGGTCATTAGGACTCTCGGTGATGGTTGTGGGAAGAACGTTACTTTATTCTCCAGTGCTGAAGAAGTAGCGAACCTTTATTTTCGCTTCACTAGTGAACAAAAAACCACTGTTTTAGATTACCACGGTTGCTATTGATGGATGCCAAGGCAACAGCTTTCAGATTCCATGCAGTTTTAGCTATAAGCTCACGGTTTTCCACAGCTTCTTACTTTCTCACCACGACTAAAATCCAGCCAACACCACTTAGAGTTTTTGGATCTCCTAGTTTCGGCTATTGGATCGCCATGTGAATAGGTGCGTTGGAACTAATCTCTCAGTTGGTGTGCTGTGTGTCACGAACTACGGCTTCTAAGTTCCTAGGAGCTGCCTAAGAGACTTGTATTTTTCTCTCATTCTTGAGACCTTAAAAGTAGGTTCTTCGTTGGCATAATATACGTCGGAGACAGGTCCACTAAAAATACCCAGTATTATATCAGCAAAGGTTGTCGGGTCATCTGTCACAACTGACTGAAAATTCACCAATAATGTTTACACCTTCTGTGGTAACCTCGAAAGATATTCGCTGAAATGGCCGTCATTAAAAGTCAGCCGACCAACCGCTTTTCGCTGCTGCGCAAGCACGTGATAGGCTGAACTTTCCTCTGAATCCGTAATGCAGAGGGATTAGTGTGAGCGTTGACAATGCTAGGAGCCACTTTTCTAAAGAAGGGCTGCTTCGAGCAGTGCAAAGGTATCACTAACTTCAGGTTCGAAAAGGTGTGATGTAGAGTTTGGCAATTATCAGATGAGAGCCAGAAACTAAAAACGAGGGTTTCTTGCACCCTGGTATGGGAAATCAACTTCAGCGCAGAGAAATCATACTTGTGTTATGTGATACTAACGGTACGAGCTGCTTAGGGGTATGCTGTCGGTATAATGTGGATAAGAATAGGGATTCGGCGGTATATGCGTGCAGAAGTTTAAAACGAGTGGATAAAGTGTATAAATGAAGGAAATGACGCGAAGGGAGGTATTTTTCAATTGAAAGATTTATAGAAAAAGCTACTTTTATTGTCTCGACAGCCAGTTCTACTCTAGCACTTGTTGATACACATAAGGTTTTAAGTGGATGACTGACGACCATTAATTATCTGGGGCTCATTTTTGTGAATCGCTTTGTAAATAACACTTACCTGTAAATGAGTTTTTTCCCTGTTGTGTAGTCAGGGCAAAAGGTTACTTTTCTTTACAAACGTCAGGGAATTTTAGTATTTGCTTGAATGGTAAAGGCCATTCTACTGAACACTTGGAGGCGGACATTACATCTTGGTGGAAATAAATTCTGTGGGGTTTTACAAAGACGGCGACTTAATGTCGTTAATGAATATATTGGACACTGAAACCGCTAATTTAAGTTCGCCGCTAGGCGTATTAATTTTAGTGACAGTGCCTGCTATAAGTAACGTTCATATCTGTCATCATATTATGAGTACGGGAAACTAGATGTGTGATTGTTAACTTCGAGTCATTTAATAGACCCCATTTAGCGATATTTATGTTTAATTTACTATACTCAAAGACCGTTTCCTGGCTTAAGCAGTTGCTACCCAGTCAAATTATATTGCGGAAATAATGCTGGCGAATGCTTAAATAATGAGGCAAATGGCGTCAATATTGCAAGCGAGGTGTAATTAGTGGGAATTGTGTCCAGAAGTTTCCTGGACCTCTGAAATAAGGCGGGAATTGTGCGTAAATAAAGCTGCGTTTACGCCTGCACGCTTAAATTATTCTGCAAGTGCATAAATTATGTGGGTAGTCCGTGAAACCCATCTTAAGTGTCGCATTTCAGCATGATTTCAGCAATCCTGACCAATGCATTGACCCGCATTGTTTCCCCATTCGCACACATTATTTCAGCACTCGTATTTGACTGGTAGCAGTCTTATGGTGCTGACGATTTTTCGTATCACCGTTAGTACCTGTTCTTGCTCATCTGAATTTAAGCATTCACTTGTCAAATGGTGGCAGCCTTTGCTTGATACACTAGTAGTCTGCTTCTGGTGTTTTCCAACAGCTGGTTGAAAGAATCAAGGCAAACGGATGGTCTTTTTTTGTGTTACTAAGTTGATGAACAATGTAGTCATTAGACGTTTCCCCTTTTGGTCTTTTTTGCCCGACTTTGCATTGTTTGTACCCCCATTGCCCTTATCTCTTAGTTGCTCAATGCTCCTCTCACTTCACCAGTTGTTTCACTCCATTACGTTGATAAGTGGGGTTAAATGGCAGTCAAATTAGGTTATTACCTCAGTAAGTGGTCCGTGTTCACTGGTTTGCTTTCTGATACTTACTTTGAGCAGTATTCGATATTAATTTGTAAGTGTTTAAGAAGTAATGTATGTCTCTGTCAACCAAACCACTGATATAATCGACAACAACCTTGAGTAATTCAATAACCACCGATCTCAGCTCATGGGTTTCCACATGGCTCTGCGGTACCACCAGGTTAAGCGGATAACGGATCACTGCTTGTCATGTCGCATATGCGTAGTAACCGTGTATACATTCAAACATACGTATGCCTGCACCTAAGTGAACCTGGGGGAATATTTTGGGTGTAAGATTGTTTCCTACTCTGGTTGTTGACGAGTGTACTAAATATACTTTTAAAGAGAGGAAGGCGGAAAGTGGATCTTTGCAGCTTCATCTGGTTTAGTGGACTGACAAGAGTGCATTCCGGAAGGCTCTGAGCCTAATCAGCAGGGGAGGCGGCTTGAATGTAGATGGACAAAAGCATCTACACAGCAATCGAAAATAAAGGCTGGAGAGATACAGATGTCAGTGGTGGTACTCTGTTGTTAGAGTTAAGCTTCAAAGTAACTGCAAGAAATTCGACAGCTAGTAAGACGGTGGAAAAATATCATTCGGTAATAACGTACCCCTGCTCTATACTTTCAAAGGAAGTAACTGAAATAGTGTGAAGACTGCTTAATTTGTCTAACGTACTCAGATGACATGTTAGCCAGACACTGATAATGCAGGTTACTTTAGCCACATCTAGCGACTGCTTGAGATTATTCGAAATGCGTTTCGGACATCCCAAAGTGAGTTGTTACTTTGGGACTAGTTTGAGTTGATAGCTCATCTAAAAATTGGTGATGAAGTAGCTAAGCACACTAGTCACTTCGTTCATTTAGTTTTAGGAGAAGCTGGTTGGCGGCTTACAAAATCTGGATGCTGAAGCTTGGGGTTCTGTTGTTGTTTGCCACCACTCTCCATTAATAGCACTTTCCAAATGTTAATATACCTGCCAAGGGTCAAGCGTACTGTGAAACAGCTCCATATAGTTGACCACAATGGCGTTCGTAGCATTGCTCGTGTGTCGCAGAATCACCAAGTAAAAGAGAGGTTAGTTGTAGTCTTAGGTATCAGTGGCAAGTTAACTGAAGAGCTTCAGTTTTCGTCGACGTGAGTGAAGCATCAAGATTAATACATAAGAAGCTAAAGGTTTTGAGACTCACGTGACGGTCGAGGTTGGTGATTGGAGGCTAAGTGATTTAGCTGATGACCTATAATTTTAGATGCACCCAGAAATTACTTCTTTTCTCTTTATCACAGCTTTCTCCGATGTTCAGTTGTACTTTTTTCTTTGATATCACGTCTATCTACTTGTTTTGTGGAAGTGTGCCAACTTAAACGAGTGCAGTTGTGTGCGTTGTTTTACGTTGACTTCGTCCATGTCTGCTTTTTTCATTGTAACTTTAATTAGTTGTCTTACATCTTGATGTACGTAGTAGTTTCAGATCTTATGTTGATATTAGCAGTTTGTTCCATTTTAATTGTTGTAACTATGCACGATTGAGTTGTAATTTGATTCACTTTATCAGTTCTCAAAAGCTAGATTTTCATTAATAAGAAAAATGAATAAACTCTTCATAGTAGTGTAACGACCAGCTGTTGATTCATTTTCCTCTGTCATGTATGTAGGTACGTTGTTGCAGGGGTGCGTACAGCAGTGCAAGTTTGGTGGTGGCTACGAAAATCTGTAGGGAAAAGAAGAGAAAAAAGTGAGCCGACGACTCATCACGTACACAGGATGTACTTACACTTAATAAAAGCTAACCAACGAATGGTAGAGCGTGACAGCGAAGAAGTGAGGCAGTCTGGAAATCAAAACTGAAAAATGAGTGAGCAAGATTTCGCATGAGTTATAATAGTACTGGGCCTGTATTACAACTCGAGCGTTTCTAGCCATTTGTATTATGCAACGTTTTCTGATATGCTTTTTAAATGAATTAAAGCATTATCATCAAGTCGTTTAATATGCTAACTTGATATTTTGACCACCACCACTACTCTTCTGGACAGTTGGCTGTCGCTTTAATCCACATAATGGTTGCTTTATTTGATACTAAGTACATTGTAGTCTTTGTGGCATAGATATACAGAGAACTGAAACTGTTGGTTGATTTTCTCTGTCATATGACGCAAATCGATCACAGTAGCGAAAATGCATTTATCCTACACATCTTATCACATTTGGTTGTTTTAGTCCTATTTTTCATAATTTTATCTGCGATTTGGCGTATTTTGAATTTATCTTTCCGTTTATGAAGTTCACTCTTGTATATTGATATAGGAGCTTGGATAGTAAATTCAGATCCTATGTTGATAATGCATACCTATCCGTTTGCTGGTCGCTGTAACATTATAATGACCCTTATTTGTGGGCGAAAAGTTACGTGATTTTAATGTGTTCTATTGGTTTTTACTACTTTGCATATCAAGTCTCTTAAATACTATTCATATCCCGTGTGCTTTCTTGAACTGGGATCCTCTGAATGATTTGGTTCTAGTGATTTTTCATTGAAACTATAAATTGCAGTTTTTCTCATTTTATTCTCAAGGTAACTGCTTTCGCGATGACGAGTGTAAGAAATGCTGATACGTCTACTTTATCCCATCAATCCTTAAAGGATATGGGAAATCAATTATTTACGTCGTGTCAATACAGTCAGGCGATTCAATGCTATACACATGCTATTAATAAGCAACCAAATATATCTTCCTACTACTCAAATAGAGCATTGTGTTACATTCAAACACAAGAATATTCAAAGGCTTTATCAGATTGCAGGTGTGCCTATGTTTTTGAAATAAGTTCTTTTATAATTTTGGTAAACGTTTGTTAGCAGTTTCTGCGGGCCTTCATTTGTAATTTCATTTTTAATCTTGTGATGTTGAAGAATCGAATTTTGGTCCGGTAGTATAGTATGATTCTCTTGGTTCTCATGACATGTATCGCGCGGTGAAACAGTATCCTTTGAAGGTGAAGTTGCTCGTAGTCGAATCAAGGGTGTGATTGTGAGCAGTAAACTTCTCTAAACGTCATCTTATAAATACTACTATTTCATTTCCCTGCTGATATTTACAAGAACTGTTTCAGCACGACGTCTCACTTGTCCTGCACGATGCTTTACGGAGCTTATTGTATTGAGATTTGGTTCGCAAAATTTATTTGTTCAGTGTAGTATGATAAATCTGACGTGCAGTTCAGTAGCTGAAGGACAAATAAGGAAAAGCTTCATCAAGACTAAATGGAACTTAACAAACTATGAAGTCTCTACGACGATTTCGATTGTTTTTATGGTTTTTAGGAGGCCGTAAAAACTATAAACTAAAATTGATCTACATAATTCATCATCACCAAACCACTAACAATTATTTATCAAGAGACATTCATTTATTTTATTTACACTTCACTGGGAATCAATGTATTATTTCATCTGAAATAGAGTTTTGCTTTGTAGAACTTAGTGCTTACTTAACTTTTGGAACCGTAGTTATTTGAAAGCTGAATCTTTTGTATCCCTTTGTATGTGGCTTTCAGAATAAATTTAGCTGCACAAATTCTAAAACTTCAAAAAACCATAGTATGTTTTTAATGGAATGTATTATGAAATCAGTTACATAATTTCGTCCTTACTTGTTGCGAGCCTGCAGCTATGCTTAAAAATATATTGATGTGTCTAGGTTATACTGTTTGTTCTAATTAAACCAGAAGGAGAATAACTTGTGATTGTAATCGGAAACTTAACGCCTACTTGAAGCATTTCGAATACCGTTTACTATACAATTTTTAAATCTCCCTTATTAAGTAATACATCAGAAGACCTATCATGTCTGCATTATGCGAATCGTCAGTAGTTAGGTTTGGATAACCCGAGACAAATATGTCTCTGGGTGGATTTATGTCGATGGCATATACATACTCTAGAGTACACAGTTGTTTTGTGGGCGAGTAAGTAGGTGCACGGTACGTAAATAGCTCTAGTATGGAAATGTAGCTCATTGAATTTATGCCTTCCACTTTTAACCAGTAGGTGACAGGTTCAAACCTTGCCCCACCTATTGGTTTTGGGTTCGCCACGTAGTATCACAGCCTTCACAAAGCGCATCTGGCTCATCGTCAAGTACACAAACTTCAGCATGTTTGCTAAATTCTATTTTCGCTGTATCAAACAGGTTTTTTTCAATGGAAATACATATTCTTGTTGAGATCTGGATCATACTCAACTTTCAGTCATTAGGTCCGTGTTGTGGCTCCGCTCCACCTAATTCTACTTGGGAGATAAAATATAAGTGTGGTTCATAGCCTACTAAATAAACCTAGATAGGGTTAAGTGACACTAATAAGTAAAGTACAAACCTGTCTTTAGGACTCAAAATCGAAATCCACTCAGCCATTTTGTGCACATACATGCAGTAGGTAATGAGCCAGATTTAGTGTGTGAGGGCTGATGATACTACCTGGCTGCCCAAAGCTCAGCAGGTAGAGCGGTGTTCGAACTCGTGATCAATCGGTAAGTCATCTCCCTAAACCAATGAGCCACAACTCCACTGTCTTTAGGACTATAGGTTTAGTTTTACTTTAACAGTTGCCTTTGTCTAAATTTCTGGAAAATGTTCACTTGGCAGCTATTATATTTCATCGTGAAACAGTGGAAAGTTGAAACATTTGCTAACAGACTTATTAGCCCCGTTTTTTCTTTCCAATTCCATACAGACAAGCGATCGAGTTAGACCATAACAATTTAAAGGCTTACTTTTTCGCTGGACAAGCACATCTAGGATTGAATCAATATGAGGAAGCAATTGCAAGATTAATTCACGCCCATAATCTGGCTTTAGAACAGCATCGTAATTTTGGAGATGATATAACTTCTGTCATTCGATTGGTTAGGAAAAAACGTTTCGAAGCATTGGATGAAGATAGGAGAAAAGAAGAAATTTCCTTACAGGTGAATAATCTTTTCTCATTGATGGCATTACAATCGACTTCATTTTGTGCTACACCTTGTTAGCTGTAAGACAGAGTAGTGCCATCAGTGAAAAGTACTTTAATTCATACTTTAAAGTTCAGAATACTTCTATTAGGCTACTGAATAGCAATATTTACTGATCACTACTTAGATATTAGTTGTTATTCAAACCTGTGAATTTGTTTTGATTCATCAAATCGAATTAGTCGGTTATCGCAAATGCATATTCTTCTTGTACACAATCCAATCAATTCTTCTGATATTTTTAATTCATTTTGATGCTGTTAGGGCGTAAATAATGTTGACCTTAAGTTTAATATGCCAATGGTAATGTATTATTGTGTTTCACTACGTCCTACAGTAAGTGGTCATCAACCAAAGCAGCAAAATGAGCAGTGCAATGAACACACTATTTGCAGGATAAGATGGTGTCAACTTATTTCACAACATTTTTAGAGCTGTATTAATGCCTAGTCAAAATATAAATGTTAAACGCAGTAATGATGATAAACGTCTCCTACGCATAAGTTCACGCTATAACGTTGACTGACTGTAGTGGGGAATGTAGACCATTGGATTCCGACCCAGTGGCTCAGTGGTAACGTGCTAGTCGCGGGACCTGAAAGTCCTAGCTTTAAACTGGAAGTCAAAGGTAAGAAAAGAGATGGAAAATAAGCCTAATCGGGTTTAGAAGAGTTAGTGATTATCATTACCAAAGAACATGAGAGAATAATTACTTTTTGGTTTTGAACACACCAATTGGATCCCATTCGTATGATGACTGTTGCTTCAGCAAACCAGGTTAGTTGGAGCTTTCTGTCTGTTGACAGTTGTGAAATCCTCTGAGATGTTAATTATATGACATCTGTCCAAACACCCGCGGATTTATTTCACTATTTAAAAATACAATGCCCTTAAGGGGGAATTCCTTAGTTCATGCTCAAGAATCTAGGTGGATAGCCCTGTCCTTCCAAATCACTTACTTCCTTACTTCCTTTGGATACAAAGGCATGTGGTTTACGACCGAGCAGATCATTGACATGGCACTCCTAGCTTCTGTTTTTCCTCTCTGCTATGCGACCACTTATAAACCTAGTATTAAGAAAACTAACTTTTCTGCCTTGTTGTTTTCATGTCTCCTCCCGCTGTCCACAAATATTGATTCAATTCCAGAGAGTGTCGATTTCCTAGTAGCTATTTCTCGACTAGTTTTGAAAGTCTTGATCAAATAATTATGCTTGCTGGTTTTCCTTTGGGGAGCGGAGTAAATTCGCTTCAAGATCGAATGATAACACTTTCATTTTAAAAAATCCCATGTTGATACTTCCTGACTTTGTTCAAATATGCTGAATTCTGCCAATCGCAATATACCAACACCTCAGCTTATTACCTTTTACGTGATATTCTACTATCATTTGTGCTTGTTTTTATCATCACTAATTTCTTATAATCACTCAACATCACTATCTCCATCCATATAGTTAGTCAAAACACTAGTTTACAATACTGCACTACCAAACAGTTGTAATAATGTTTATGCTTAGGTATGCAGCTGACTCATTGGTCTAGACAGTTGACTTACAACCAGTGGGTTGCGAATCCGAACACCGCTCTACCTGCTGATAATATCATTAGTCCCCAATCAGTAGGTGGTGCTTGTTGCCTAGTGTATGGATATGCATTTGGTTGCTGAGGCTTTTGTTATATATGGTAAAATACTGCGATATACTACGGAATTCTTGTCATTTGTGAAGACTAGTCAAAGAAGTGATGTGCTCGCTTCACGAACTTATGGTCGTGGCCTCACTTTCATACGAAGTCATAGGGGAGCACTGCTGCAGAGTCCCTAGGACAGAACGACTGCTTTAATGTTCCTTATTTTGAATTTTCTAGCTGGTGTCATTTCCAAATGGAAACTGCACTAAAATCAATTAGCTTCCTTCATACCTTCAAACTGAATATTGAAGTCTTTTCAGATATGTAAAATCCTAGTATTCGGAATATGTTAGAGGAAGCATACTTTCAATGGTTTTATCTTTGACCAATTGATTGGTATTTTGTCACTACTCACTCAGTATTAACTTTATCTTAGAAATAAACTTTCGCTTCACTATCGTTCATGGTCTTGAAGATGTATAGTTTTCTTTCATTTTCTTTCCCTCTTAAATCAGGCGTATTTAAATCAACTGATCATGGATGATGCTGTTCGTCAGAAACAAGCCTTGATATCTACATCAACCAGAACGTCCCAAGCTAACGTAGAAGAATCGTCCAGTCTTACTGCACTTGGTTGTCTGCCAAATCAACCTACAGATGAGTCACTTCAAACTAAGTCTGAAAGCAAGGCTAACAAGTTATCTGCCGTCAACGATAACTTTAATTTCGAAAATATTTCATCTGAACTTCAGGATATAGTTGCCGATATAGATGGCGCAGCTCAAAGGCGTATTTCGGAGCTGAATGAATTATTCGTCAAGGTAAAACGTCCTGTGGTTGTAAACATTTCCGACATTATTATTCTTTTTTTTTCGTTTCCTCACATAAACTCACTACCTTAAGTTAGTTATTTGTATAAGAGCATGCCAATTTGTTCAGTGCATATTGATATTCATATTTTTGACCATACTGAAATGTGAATGAATAAATAATGTGATCCGTCGGTTGATGTTTATGGACCTGTAGTTCAATAGACTACAATGCATCTTTTATACATTTTGTTTTTAATTGCACTGTTACACAGAAAAAACGACTGGAATGGTTTGGTCAAGAGATTTGTGCTAGCTAGTTCATATCATGGTAGTGAAACGTGGAAGTATTTCAGCAGGTAATTGGCTTTTTAAGGTCTATTTTAGCGTTGTGTGACACCTTGCTATTCTCAGTGATACCCATGTAATTTCAATAAAGTCCTTTTCTACTGTCTAAACAACGGCCTTGTTTATTGGACTGTCGATTATATAATGGTAAGCCCTATAATTTGTTCGACGACAGACCGATAGGAACGAAACACCGTTAAGCCTGGCATAGAAGTGCATCGTCTCAAGTTGCAACATTCTGCAATATAATCGATACTGCGGAAGATAAACGACTATAACTAATGAAAGAAGAAATGGGTGAACGCTAATGATAATATTCAAGACTGCAAACATGACATAAAGTTTATACATCTGTGTCATTGTGACCAACTTCGAGCCATGTTATGAAGAGTTCCTGAAAATGAACTCAGTCTCAGAGACAACAAACACACAAACTACACATCTCTACATGGCTCGAACTAACAGATACAGACTTAACGAAATATTGTCATATCTCAGCCTGACCACTCTTAGGCTTCATCCAACATACCCATTCTCCGGTTAACCTTGCAAGCTGGATGATACCTTGGTGTGCGCATAACATGTTCTATCTGAATTGATAAGGGTTCACAACCTCATTGACTGACCCACCTTCCTTGCCTACCACCTTATGCCTAATACCGACATTACTCACTTCACGGACACTAACAACACTACGAAGACACCTTCAGTCAAAAACCTGCAACTTCTTCATATCTTCTCCCAAAAGCTGTTCGAAGTCGTAAAATAGGATAGAGGAAACTTCTGGGTAGTTGAATAAGTTGATAAGTCCCACTGAAATAATTCTGTATCTGAACTTAAATCTCATCAACAACTAGCTCATTCAGACTGATGCAACTCCCCAAAAAGGGAAGTGCTTAACGCATTTTATCTCTTCATTCTCTATCCCTAAACTAGAAGTCTGTGCAAACCAGTTCCGAACCATCATTTTACATTCGTCAAGTTAAAAATGCACCCAGAACATTCTCAGATTTATACTCAAGATGCTTAGAAGATTGTGTTTGTCAGCGACCTTTCCTAACGTGACTACATCAGCTAGGTACCATCCGGGAAGAATGTCAATCCCTGATAATTCAGAGGTACCTAGCGTTACATTCATTCGCGTGTATACAACTAGGTTGGAAGAGGACGGTGACAGCGAGCACCCTTGAGTGGACACCATTTGTTATCACTACTATAATAAATAACTCTCCATAAGCCGTTACTTACACGGCTGTGTGAGTTTGAATAGAGGGTTTTGATTATCATTACATGCTTGCTCGGTACTCCCTTCACGATAAGACACTGAGATAACAACTCTCGACCGACAGAATCTAGTGATGTCTTCAGATCAGGAAATATGGCAAACATCGGTCACTGGTAAGTATGTCAGTATACCGAAACCTGTAAAAACATCATCTGACTTATGAACTTTTTCTCAGGTCTGAAACCCGCATAGTCTTCTCAATTTTGTTGTTCTCAAGGATCAGTTGAGCATCGGATGGCTATGCACCCTGAGATCCTTCCTAAACACGAAACTAATCAAACTGGTCCACCTGTGATCGTTGCAGTGAACTTTCTAGGCATTCGTATAAGTTGCGACGGTCAGCGATCCAGGTCAGTTTGGTCCAAGTGCCTCTGGTTCTCATATATAAACTAGTGTTTTCGTTATTCTACCTCCATCTCTGGAAATGTATTGGAGCATACCATCTTTTGCTTCTGCTTTTCGTCGTTTTGGGCTCGAAACAATTTCGGTGACAGTTGAAAGATCTACATCTATGCTTTATTCTGGTTCGAAATGGATATTTGACTGTGAAGTGTTTCTGTAAACTCTTTGGACTGTTCTACAAAGTTTTATATCTGACATTTCATTCATCTGTCCGTAAAGGTTATCAAATACCCGTTCATCTCGGTGATGCTCTTAGTAGCCATTGTCTTCTTTCTAGTATCCCTAATAAACTTAGATATTTTTCGAAGATTGCATAATGCGGTTTCATTTTCCATCACTTTCGCCACCTTTCACCGCTCACAGTTATTGCAAAGATTCTCGGTCGATTTACTTTTCATGTGTTTTCGCTTCCCATTGTGGTTAGGGTTAGCTGGAATGTGTCTTTTGAATTGATCAATTCGGAAAAAGGTTTCAAAAATCCACTGGCCTGATGCAGTCGGAGTTTTTAAATTGATATGCTGCGAACTAAGATCCATTTTTCTTTGCGATGGTTTTAGGCATGCAATGGTGTTATATATGTCAAGGGTTTCTGGTTATCAGTGGAACTACTGGTATTGTGTATGTTGGTTAGGGTTATGCACAATAAAATATCGATGGGATCACGTTATCTATTTCACCCAGTCAGTCAATATCGAAGTGAAACCATTTCTATATGCTGTTTGATTATACACCCTCATTTCGTTCCTAGATGTTTTGTTTGTCCGACTGATTCTTCTGGGTTTGTCACTAACTCATTTCTCTTGCCGTAAACTGGGAGAATCAGTGATTGTGACTGGTCATCGCACGTGATCGTACTTGTTTGGTATAGGCTAATTAACAGTTCAGTTATTCTAGCCGATAATTTGCGACCACTATCCTTAATTACTTCTGGTACTAACCCATGGAGACCTATTGCCACCCCTCTTTTCAAGCGAGTTAGTTTCTGCAAGAATGGAAGGCCCTATCTTTATGTTCTATTCAGTGTATGGTTGGATAGCAGTCATCGAAGTAGTAGCTGGAAGCTAGTTGAACTCTACCTCGAAGCGTTTAACCTATGGTCCCAGTCATCTCCCCTCAGAGTGAATCGTCAACCCACCGTTCTCTGCTATAGTCTCACTAAGCATTGACGTTTTCTCCCATTTCCTTGATAATTCTGAATAGCGGCCTACTGTTCCCTGTCCCCACTGCTTTTTCCATCTCACTAGCCTTCGCTGTCCACCACTACTCACAGTCATTACGCCGACTCTAAGTCAGTCTTCACTTGAGTTAATTCTGCTCGCCACTTTTATCGGAACCCGCACCAATGCATTCACGCTCATCCACTGAATCATAGGAAGCTGTTCTGGTGCACTGGTCCTTTCTAACCATTCTCGTAGGGCCAGTTAGACCTGTAATCTTGCTTTTTCAATAGACTCGAGATTGTGCTAGGTTTTTTTGAGTTTGACGTTGTCTTATACTAATAACTGTCTAGCTATCTTCGCATTTTAATAATACAGCTGTTCTCGGGATGACCTTGGAGCTGTAGTTTATCTTGCTCGAACCAGCGTGTAATCACTGTCCAAACGCGTGCTCCGGAGAGAGCACCAATCTACCACCGACCCTCTACAGCGACAACTGGTAGCTTTGTGGTCTTTCTGCGTCCACCTTTGAGTTGAGATCACTGGACACCCATATCAGACCAGTGTCTCTGTCTGGCATTCGTGCTGGCCAGGTATACGTGGTTTTTCGAACAGTGTTACACCAGGTGGTCACTAATATCCGTCCGTTTAGCTGCTATTCCGAAATTGCCTTTCTGCATCGATTTCACTCACGCGCTTATACAATGAAATCATCTACCATAATAACCACGTCTTAACGTTTAGCTTTCAATAAGAGGCTATTTCGTTTTCGGTGAAACTTATTTTTCACGTAATCCGCTCAACAGGCAGTGGGTAGAAATCACAAACGAGCAACGTTGTATTGTATTATTCTGTTTGGTCATAACTGCACAATCAAGTGTAGTCCATTTGAGAAATGCACTTTTTCTCTTAAGACTTAACGCTATACCTATACCTGTAAGACTGCAAGAATTTGCGGAACATTCAGAAACTTGAAGGATGTCTGTTGCATATCTATCGGATCGATCAAATGAGATTAAGTGAGTAGCTACATATCAATCGTGTATGCATTTTCGACAAACAGTATAAGTCGGTGATCGAAGATGCCATATAACCGGTTGGTGAGGATTATTCGATTTGGTGGTCGCGAAAATTCGAACCTAGAATATGTAATTTGGAGCACGATTTCAGGAAAGCAGGCATTCTGATCCGTGAACGCGAACCGTTATCAGAGGCTACAGAGTCTAAAGAAATCAAAGTTAACTTTGAAATATTGACTGACAAATGTGAAAAAAGATTCAGAGGCAAAGGTGAGGAGGTGATCAGGAGTGACTTCAGACCTGAGAGAGGTGTTAGAGTGGTTGATATTTCACACCTACACCATGAAACTTTGGTTCTTGAGGTATCTAGAAAAGAAATTGGATTAGTAATAGTGGTGCCTAGCCGCAGAACTCTATGAACATCTGCTTGAGGTTGGTCATATATGGCGTTTTTTGAAGTTTGAGGTTAAGTTTTGTTTTGCATCCGAGCAATGAGAACTTATACCGCAGATTCCAGAAGACGGATTGGCGTGTACTACTTTTGTTTATGATCTTTTCTAGATCCCTTATGATAGGCGAGGCAGCACCAGTATTGACTGTCAGTCATCAGAGGGGAACATATTACTGCTGTCTTACCGCGGTCCAACTACCAGTATGACTTCACTCTCGGACCGCATCATTGGGTAGCAATTTACCTTATAATTGTAACTGCTTTTTGGTGTACGTGGCATGGATGTGGTCTTTCTTTAAATCATTTCAGCGAGATTTTCTTTTGAAAAAAGAATATATTAAGCAGTAGATGAACATAGTTAAACACACAGTAACTTTAAGTGGTACCTAATTAGTCTCAAGAGCGAATGTAACAAAAACTGTATCTCTTGGACGTCTGGAATGTTCACAACATCTAGATATGTATCAGAATTACTTTGGACAAAATCGAGATACTTCACTGAAGAAAACATCGTTTGCTTTTCAGCATAAAGGCAAAACATTATTCTGAATACATGTCATACTGTCTCTGTTCGGCCGCATGGACCTTTGGTAGTTATTTGGAGCAAAAATAAAATCTATGGAATAGTTGGATAACCGAAGAATTCAGTGGTAAAGATTCGCAGCTGAGTATCACTTTTCTCCTATATCGTTTGTCGAATCAGGCATGGCCACTCAAATAAGCCTATTCTACTTGTAACAGGAGCTATCGTTATTTGGAGTGAGAACAGTAACAACTCTTTAGAAAGATATTGACCGTATTTTTGTCATTTGTTTGATAGATTCAGTGATATAATAAATCAGATCGTGTATTATAACTTATGTTTAAAGTAAAAAACATTATCTACCTGCCATTTTATAGGTGGATCAGCGTCGGCAGAAAAGAGAAATTCCAGATTATTTGTGTGGTCGTATTAGCTTCGACCTAATGCGAGACCCTGTTATCACGCCAAGTGGCATTACGTATGACCGGCAATCAATTATTGCTCATCTGCGCCAAGTCGGACATTTCGATCCTCTTTCACGCCAACCACTGACAGAAGACCAGCTGATACCAAACTTATCGATGAAAGAAGTTGTACAAGCCTTTCTGGATGAAAATCCATGGGCTGAAACATTGTAATTGTTATAACGTCCTGATCTCCCCTTGTGTTTGTAGTGATCTTTTTGAAATAATCCTCAACACCATTCCCTTTATCTCCCGTGCTGAAACCTTCACTTTGATACACAAACCTTTCCATTCTGTTGCTAAAATAATCAGATCACCAAACCTTGATTATACTTTCCTCAGTAATAAGATTATTGACTGCATAATTTTTAATCTGTTATTATCTTTTGAAACACATAAACAAGACTCCTATTTTGTTCATTGGTTATTAGTACGAAAATAAATATGTATTTACACTTGTTCTCCTTTTCCCTTTATTTGTCTTCCATAGAGTCAAATTTTTTATCCCCTTTTCTGTAGCCTTACATCAAGATTTTACACCTACCGTGTGAAATCCAACACGTTTTATCGAACTATGTATGGCCGACGCAGGGCTGCAGTTATGCCACATGTCACCAGACGACAAACCGAACCAATGACTTCAGACACTATTGAACAGGGGGATTGTGTCGAGGTTTCTATTGATGCATTGCATTCAACTTTAGATTCATCTCATGGAATGAGTCGATCACGACCTATTGGGTTGTCGTTTATCTCCTCATCGTCATCTAGCAATTCGTCCCATTCACCACCTCCAGTAACTAGACGGACACGTCAGGTTCGGAGAATAGATCGAACTCATCATTTGTCACAGGTTAGTTTTCACATTTATTCTGTTTTGTAGTTATTTAATAGTTTTGTATGGTCAAACGTCAGTTACAATTAGTATTCTTATAATTATCTTCTCTTGAAGTTAATCTTACCTAATCTTCTTTGTTTAATTTGTGCTTCCTTGCACCATGGTTCGACCAAAAGTGGGTGACTCATTAAAGGCGAAACCTTTGCGATTCCTTGATTTTTACCGATCATTTTTCAAAGCAATATAGTAGGATAGATCGGAATGTAGTGCAGTTTACTGAACTATTAGTAGACATTTAGATATCTCACGTAAACCATAAATGGCGCACGCTGGCAAATTAGCCTTTCATATTTACGTTCACATATGTAAGGTGACCAATGTCCACAGTCATTCTACCCAAAATATTCAAGTGGGTTGTTTATGCACACGAGAACTTCGGCAATAACTTACTTAAATTTTTGAGGGGGTTGTGGAGATTTGGAAATATTTCAAGTTGTTATTCATCGAAGACTGACATCAGTTGGAGGAACAAAGGAAACCTGGGAGCACTGGACAGCTGTTTCGTCCTAGTATGGGACTCCTCAGCAGTGCGCACCCACGACCCCACCAGCAGGGATCGAACCCGCGACCTTCAGGTTCCGCGACCAGCACGTTACCATTGAGCCACTGGGTCAGAATCCAATGCTCCATATTTCCAACTTCTGTTAGCTCACGATATAGCGCAAACCGCCACCCAATGTCATCGTTGAGTATTTGTCCTCACGGCCATCAGGCTTTGACTCCACCGGTCACGACTTGTCATTGGAACTTCGGGAATACTTCTCGAAGCTAGTCACCAACGAGCACCAGTTCAATTAAATTTTTGAGGGGGTTGTGGAGATTTGGAAATATTTCAAGTTGTTATTCATCGAAGACTGACATCAGTTCCTCCAACACACGCATACAAAGCTCAGTGCAATGTATCTGTGAAATTCACCTAAAATTTAAAGATCATCTTCTGTTAACCTTTCGATTTTGTCGGTGTTACAGTTGATATTAATATGCTCTATCCTGTTAATTGGATCTGCAGAGACCAGACAAGATGGAGATACTCATCTATATCCATTTTATTTTCTACATATGCATCCACTGGCTGCGGTTTCAACGATGTAAGGAAGCACTTCTACTAAAAGCTGTTAGTTTTAGAGGAAAGAAATCGTTCATATGTAGCCAAACAAGCGAATGACTACCACGCTTAGGTAGAAAGGCTTAGCTAGTTGGTATTTACAGTTTCCTATGCGAATGAACAGAGAAGTGTTCGTCTCTAATTTTCTTCTGAAAATCACTTTTTCCTTCCTTACTTCAAGGACTCTCATTATATTGTTCGGAGAACAATTACATCATGATGGTGAGTACATGCACAAGTAGATCATGCCGTTTCAAGTCATTGTTGAAGATCTGCTAAAAATGTTTACTGTATTTCAGGCACATGTTTGGACTATAATTATCCTGTCGTTTCAGTCGTTTTTCTGTGCCCTAATAAAAGCTGTCAGTTATTATGAACGTGGGGTCAGGTATGATTGCTTAACGACCTATGCTGTAATAACCGACTTCAGTACATCAAGGTACAAAGTAACAAGAAGAAAGGTTAAGAAATGGAAGTAATTTAAGCAGAAGAAGTAGAAAGTCATGAGGAGAGAAGAAGAAGAAGAAAAATGAGTAAAACAAGTAACAAAACGCGATAATAAGGGTTAAGATGATGACAGTTTGTAGATGTGTTTGCAACACCGAGATCGGTCCTGAACCATAACGTCGAAAGTCTCCAACCACTAATTTCCGTTGTCACACGTGGATCACAGCATACGAAGCCAGATTTCTCAACCACCTCTGATCAAAAGTCGGGGACTTCACTTACTGATGCCACCTTTTAATCCGGTTACCTCTAACCTTTTCCCATCCTAATCCCACTTCGTAACGTCGCTGGAGACGCTGTACAGACATGTATAACATACGTCCCAACCAGATAAGTCGATGAAGGTATATAGTCATATCAATTGAATTCCTCTTTCACCTAACATTTGCTAAAACGATGGTTCCACGATACACAACCAGTGTCGTGAAGACAAAGGTGGTTGAACACTTGAAGCCTTCTTATGTTGTCCTCCACCTCTAAATGGCCATGTTTGGCAGTCATGTAGTAGGACAGGGAGAATCGCTGCACAGTACACTCGACTCTAAGTGGATGATTTCGCACCTAAATGACATAAAAGGTGGTGTAACTCGGCGAAGTTGAGCGAGTCTTTTGTATCCTCAAGGTGATTTCATCGGTCATTCAACCATTCGAGATTTATCTTTATAAACAAGTGTGATGGTCAGGTCACCGAACCACTTCGCTGCCTACAGTCGGAAAAAGTTTCAATGCTTACCAGTCCTTGGGTGATATTTTGCATTCGGGTAGTAAGAATCTCATCTCAAACATTCTCAAGTTTCCACTCAAGATAGGATGAGGACCCAGCATCTTCACCTAACACAACTATGTCATCTGTGTACCCCGAGTCTATTAAAAGTTCCTAGACATGGACTATCCTCATAAAGTCATGTTAGGAAAGGGAGACCCCTATAAGTACATCTATGATAAAATTAAATAAGAATAAACAGATTGGATAACCCTGATATGCCCAACTCATCTAAAACCTGACCCTGTGCTTTGACACGCTCCAGGTGTTCGAATACAGAACCTTTAGTAGAGTGGGTATTTCACTTACTCGGGACCCTTCTGATCCCAAACGTTGTCAGAAAACCTCTTTGAACGCCTTCGGTCGAGAAAAACAGCTTGTTAGTTTGTTGGAGAGCATGTTTGTGTACCAGAATCTGTCTGGAATGAAAATACGGTCAGTTAACCCCATTCCAGGTTTGAAGCCTGCTTGGTTTTCTGGAATCTGTTCCCAAGTATCTAGTAATCTTAGAAAATGTAATAGTTGATACTGAAAACCAAACATTTCACTGTGTTTCTGGCAAGATTATGTCTCTCCTTTCTTGAAAACCGGTACAATCATTGACTGAGATCACTTGCAGAGAATTACTTCTTATGCTCACACGTTGCGTTTTGACTTGGCGAACGTAGTCACAATTTCTAGATCACCATCATTACACACCTCGGATTTAAGTCCATCTTGCCCTGCTGTCCTTCTTGTTTCAGTTTCTGTGAGCCTTCTCGACTTTCGGGAGAATTAGGAGTACTGTCTTTTGCATTCACGATTCTACTTGAAGACGGGTGATAATACGGCAGTTGAGGTGATGGTTGAATCGTTCTTCTAATTGTTAGTGAAATTGTTTCAGCTACAGAGCTTCCGAACGGAAGATACCAGTAAGTTTCTGAGAACCAGAGGCACTTGGACCAAACTGACCTGGATCGCTGACCGTCGCAACTTATACGAATGCCTAGAAAGTTCACTGCAACGATCACAGGTGGACCAGTTTGATTAGTTTCGTGTTTAGGAAGGATCTCAGGGTGCATAGCCATCCGATGCTCAACTGATCCTTGAGAACAACAAAATTGAGAAGACTATGCGGGTTTCAGACCTGAGAAAAAGTTCATAAGTCAGATGATGTTTTTACAGGTTTCGGTATACTGACATACTTACCAGTGACCGATGTTTGCCATATTTCCTGATCTGAAGACATCACTAGATTCTGTCGGTCGAGAGTTGTTATCTCAGTGTCTTATCGTGAAGGGAGTACCGAGCAAGCATGTAATGATAATCAAAACCCTCTATTCAAACTCACACAGCCGTGTAAGTAACGGCTTATGGAGAGTTATTTATTATAGTAGTGATAACAAATGGTGTCCACTCAAGGGTGCTCGCTGTCACCGTCCTCTTCCAACCTAGTTGTATACACGCGAATGAATGTAACGCTAGGTACCTCTGAATTATCAGGGATTGACATTCTTCCCGGATGGTACCTAGCTGATGTAGTCACGTTAGGAAAGGTCGCTGACAAACACAATCTTCTAAGCATCTTGAGTATAAATCTGAGAATGTTCTGGGTGCATTTTTAACTTGACGAATGTAAAATGATGGTTCGGAACTGGTTTGCACAGACTTCTAGTTTAGGGATAGAGAATGAAGAGATAAAATGCGTTAAGCACTTCCCTTTTGGGGGAGTTGCATCAGTCTGAATGAGCTAGTTGTTGATGAGATTTAAGTTCAGATACAGAATTATTTCAGTGGGACTTATCAACTTATTCAACTACCCAGAAGTTTCCTCTATCCTATTTTACGACTTCGAAACAGCTTTTGGGAGAAGATATGAAGAAGTTGCAGGTTTTTGACTGAAGGTGTCTTCGTAGTGTTGTTAGTGTCCGTGAAGTGAGTAATGTCGGTATTAGGCATAAGGTGGTAGGCAAGGAAGGTGGGTCAGTCAATGAGGTTGTGAACCCTTATCAATTCAGATGGAACATTTGTTGTGTATTCTGAGGCATCTCTTTGTTTTATTAGTGTTTAGTTAGTAATATGATAATTTAGTTCCTGAGCAAAGTAGAGATATCTGACATCTGTTAGTGTCATTTTGATTGGTTTTCAATCTATATGGACTACTTCGGGTTAGCTGTGGTTATGTTTAGTCTTATTTTGTTGGAAATGCTTGATGTGATTACCTAAAATCGGTCTATGCAGCGCAACGTATTCGTTCTATATCGTTAGGGAAATTCATTTTTACTCCATCTAATCGTTCAGTTTCATCTCATGTGAGCATATGGTTTTGCTTTATTTGTGTTCTACCAACCTTTTCTTCACACGCTACCTTTTGGTGTTCAGCTTGAAGTGGCACTCTTATTAGGAAAGTCCTAAGTTGATTATTTTGCGTCTCTGTCTCTATGTTTTCGTTTCTCATTATAAATAAAACTGTCTTTGGGTGTTTTATTATATGTTACCTTAATTTGATACACCTTCCATTTTTGAAGCTAAAGTCAACACTGACCTGTCCACTGTGTTTTGTCTAAGAAATCAAACAACTGTGTAACATGGAATATATCTTAGTGTGTCCTTGTAGACGGTAAATCAACTTCTGATAGTATTCTTTTTTCCTGAAAATCAAGGTACTAATGTACAACAGTAGTAAAGGTAAACGAACTGTAACTTGTATTTGAGCTACCTAGACGTCTCATTCTTAACTATTGAAACATTGATTCAAATAATGCATACTTCTCGCTGGCCATTTATTTGCAAATAGTTAGTTTAAGCCCCTGTTGGTTGTATTTGTGTTTATAATATGGTTTATATTAGCTGGTTTTTAGTCGCTTCATAGAAATCTATGCAGATATAACTCTTTTTCGAGATTATTTTTTATAAAAGGTTCATATAATCATCGGATCGTAACTAGTTGGTTTTAGTGCTTCATATGTTATGATTTTTGTTTCAACAAAGAAATTTTTTTCTGGTCTCCCTGAATTGTGATGATCTCAAATGTCTTCTTAGGAATTTTAAGGTAACCAAGGTTTTTGTTTATATTTTTCTCTGTCTGCTTCAACCAATTGTGCTTAGTAACCTAGCACATAAAACTTGAATCCAGTTGCTCACTTGTGGTCTTTATCACATATCTCTTAGGTATGTATAACTTTTTGGCTGTGCTGTTGTTTTCGCATTCGTACAAGGTTTATATTTTGTGTCTTTCAGCGTCCAACCCTAATTCAAGAACTCGCAGCCGTGGTGTACCCGATAACCTAGAGTCATCCACCCAAAATGCTTCAGTCCCACTTCCTCGCCGCACTCGTCGACGTGCTCTTATTCGTCCTCCGTTTTTTGAGATGCTATTTCCCCCACGTGAAAGTCAGTCATATCAAAGTGAGTCAGCAAGTGGAAATATGCGAACAAGTCTCCAAAATTTTGATGATGATGTCATTCAAGTAACTGGTTCTGATGATCTGATTCAAGTAATAGACCTGGGTGTTTGCGTACTACTAGATCTGGAAGAAGAATCTTAAGGCGCTTATCAGCAGCTAACTCACGTTCAATGGCTCCGACAAATATTCCTACTACCACTCGTCCATCACGTACCAACAATAACAGACGCTCTCAAAGTCTAATTGACTGCTCAGACGTTCGGGCAGCTTTAGTCGCAGTCAGGTCCACTGGTCTTGAAAGCGATGATGATTGTGTTATCTGTTTGTGTGAAAAATCAAATCGTTGTGTTGTTTTACCCTGCATGCATACGTTTTGTTTTGACTGTATTTATCGTTGGCTGTGCATCAATCCTTCTTGTCCATTATGTAAATGTTTAGCTCAAAGATCATACATTCAGTTTTATCTGATACGGAATTCACTGAATTATTGGTATCTGATCTACCAAACAACAATCTGCGTAATAGAATTAATGATCTATCTAGTACATTCCATCTAGAGGAGGAATATTTAAATGCACCTCCAGATGACACCACTGTTCCACGTTCGCATCATCACTATCATTATCATCATCATCTGGGTACTCATCAAGTACGTTTACTGAACTATTTGGATGGTGTGACTAGTTCACCATCAGATGGAACGTCGTTATTTATGCCTCCAATTATTTTTCCTCCTGATACTAACATACCTCAATCTAGGGCTGTCAATATTATTGATGCTTCATCACATATACCATACCGATGGAATTCAGAATTAGGGTGAGTTGGTTTCAACCATGTTAGCATCTTAAATTTCTTATTTTGATATTGCTTAAGTGGTCTGAAACACGCATTGGCTTTAGCAGATGGTGAATTTGTCTTTCCTAGAATAAACTGATTTAGTTGAAAGCCTTTTATTTCAAATGGAAATATATATACGGGCTTTATATGCCGGTCTTTCTGAGGAACTTCGGCAAGTGGGGTCGCACGTCTTTACCTTGGTACAGCATCCATTCCATTCGATTTCGCGCCCAAACGAAATAAACCGTTTATAGATTCTCAGTTAAATGCTCATAAAGAATACCACATTGTTGTTGGTACTGACACAGTAACGAGTTGAAGCATTTTATGTTTTTTTCCTTCCTAAATGTAATGTGCCCATTATGGCGTTCACTCATCTCAAATACAAATTTTCCGAATCTGCATCTGTTGACAAAGTAGTTCTGTGCTGTTGCATACTGGGTTTTATTGGTGCATACAAGTGTTACCCGTAAGTGCCATCTAACTAGAGTGTGAGATTAAGGAAAGAGAATATTGGTGAAGCATTCGAGTTTATTCTTTGCATCTGGATGCAAGGTTGACTATCAACGTCTCCTGTAGCTATGGATCGAATCATTAGGCTTGTTGTCATTTTGGGTACTAGATACCATCAGTCTATTCTTTGAGAAGCATTATCAGCTTTGAAAGTCATCAGTGGACCAACAGATCTAACTTATTGACTTTGGTCAGAAGAGATTTTTTTGCTTTGTTATGGGCTTTTCTGTATGATTCTTGTTAAGACTCGCTGATATTTTTTCGAAATGCTAATAGTTATATATACATTCCGAACCAATATAATACGCACACTTAGCTGACAGCTGACTTAGTACGCAAGAGCCACCGACTGCAACCCCGGGACGAAGAGAGAAGACCGAAGCTGGCAGATGGGAGAGTTTATTACTCCGAGAATATAATAATAAAATCAATCCTTGTCCTCAATTTCAGGTATTTGCATAGTAAGAGTAAAGATTAACCAATCAGCGACTTACATTACAATGGGGACAGAAAGTAGACTACTAGTCATACCGTAAAAATGATGCGGGAATGATACGTTAAAATGTTCAGATTGATAACAATGTTTTATACAGAACTGGGGCAACACAACACAGCGAGTTATGGTGCTAAAGAATACGCTCCTAGAAATGGTATCGTGCAACACAGTATCAGTACCAAGAGTGTAGGATCTTCTTGTTGAGAGTTTGATCTGATGGGCTTGAATGACACTTTAATGTTAAAAATGGCGGGTTAGTATATTGCGTCATGACTGTATACTGTTTTAAGTTGATCAGTCGTTGATATCGAACGGTAAATAAACTCCAAGGTCACAAGTAGTTCCTGTTCCAATTCACCTAAATTGCCTCATATGGATGTCAGCTTCCTGTGGCACTTTAAGATTGCAGATAAAGATCGGGCACTAGGATTAATTATCAGGAAGAGAACACCGTTTACCCTTATGAGTAACAGTACTTGTGTACATTTTGAAATCGCCACTGTCATACTTTGGCAACTTCAGCCATTGGTGACCTCCATTAAACAATGACTGTTTTCCGAATATTTGAGAAAATCTCACCGTTTCTCCAAATCATTCTGTTTCTTTCGGTTGCTGTCACCGGATAAAAAAAAAAGATATTTTGCATGTTTTTGATGAACCCAGTTTCTGTCTCTGCAGTCGGACCTTCCATGCACCATCTCTAACTAACTTCTTGTTGAAAGTGTCATCATATATTATCTGGACCACAATTAAACAAAATATCTTATTGCAAATCGCTCTCTGCTGGGTAGAGATAAGTGGTCTGCAAATTTCTCTGTAGGTCTCATTTACTGATGGGAAATCAGCTTAAAGTCATTATCGTGTACTGTCATATTTCGGTCGCAAATACCAGCTTGCACAATTTTGTGGTTAAAATTTAAAAGTGTGATACTGTTTTGCATTCAACACTCAAACAGTGATACAGTACACCGACTACCGGATATTTAAATCTGAACCTTAACTCAACCACTACTGAGTAAGAATAAGACAAAGAAAGAAACTGAATGCGTACACTCCCCCAATCTGATGATGGTCAAGACAGAATCTTATGGTTGTATGCAAGGTGACCTAGCGAAGTAGCCACTCAAAAAGCGAGTCAACAGGACCAAATTTAAAATTTCACTGAAGTTCAAATTTTCTGAAATGGCGTGGTGACTACGTTTCTGTTATTTGCAGGCCGAATTCTCAAAAACCAGTTATATTTCTAAAAATAAGTTTCTAATTTGTTGTGATGCTCTTGATGTTTTCTGTTTATAGTTCTGCAGAGAATCGTCGGTCTCTTTTAACCGTTTTGGTCGATAATGCTCTTCGATCGAATCCTTCTACAATTTGGATAGTTTATTGCTCCGTCAACTAGTGTACATTTTTTTGTCTAGATTCAATTCCTGTTCCACAAGAGTAAGTGCTTCTAAATTCTCAAATGTTCGTTGAAAAATTCTATTGGCTTCAAGTTCTGATTACTTATACACCGTCTTTATCCATATTAAATATGATAATGATTGAGACATAGTTTCTTTGACAACTGGTCGTTACTGGCTACTGTGATAAAATGCTCGTTTTCTTTAGCTTGTTTGACTATACCGTAGAGCGTGCCTATTTCTTGAAGTTTTATGCCAGAAAGGTCAATTAAGGAGTGGTAAGACTGGAAACAGTTACTGTCTGAGTGAAAATGATCCCCCCTTTATCTGTTCGAAGTCGAAGCTTTCCTGCTAGTTTATGCTAAGGCTCCTATATTTGTAAAATGTCCGTGTTGAATAATCATCTCCCTCCACCTCATTGAGCTAGTTTTAGCGATAATCGCATCCTACTGAGAGAGTGTGTAACCACACGCATACACATAGGTGAGCTTTTTCTAGATTCCTTATCTCACAAGGATTTGAATAGTGTAATAAGAAGACGGAGGTTATCTAAGAAATGTGATGTATTAGCGCGATGCACTTTGAACAATCTGATCACATTAACTTGTCAAGGCGTTATATATATATATATATATATATATATATATATATATATATATATATATATATATATATATATATATATATATATAGTGACACATACGTTGGGAGGAGTAGTCGAACTATGAAGTCGGGGATGGCGGAGCATATCCCTAAATGGTTAGAAAAACAATTACATTCAAATAATCCGATATATACTGGGAACAGACAGACGTCATCGTCTATAGGTAAACACATTATAGAAACAGGTCACAGGATTGATTCCAAAACAGCCTTCAAACCACTGGATAGGGGCCGTCAAGACCGTATACTTAGGTTCATTGAAGCCTGAGCTATACGAAAGTTCAACCCCCCTTTGTGTTTTGAAAAACAGTTTATCCTTCCCTTAAACCTACCCTGGTAATCTTTATCTCATTTTAATGCCAAGGGAAGTGTAAAAGTGTGTTATTCCCCCTTATTATCCTCATAATTTCCAAATCTTGTATTTTCTGAATCTATTTATTTTACCCTATTCTATTTCCATCCTTCATATAAAAATGCCTTGGCAAGTTAGTGTATGATCAGATTGTTCGAAACGTACTGCACGAATGCTTCACATTTCTCAGATAACCTCCGTCTTCTTATTACATTATGGAAATATATCAAAGGGATTAATTGTTACTAGGTTTTTGCGCTCAGACAGCCTAATTGACACTGGTCAACTATTATGGCTTAGGTATTTGACATCTCAATCGTGGCAAGGGATTTGGTGAACCAAATTATTCATCGTATAGAGTGTATTTTTACTTGTGTAATCTCGGAGTAGTGTATTAGAGCAAATTTGCTTAATTGGATCAATTGGAGTCAGTATGGAGGTTTAAATGCCACTCTTATCCCACGACCTTATTGACAAACCTACTGAGGTACCTTCCTTGTGTGGTAACACTAGAGGTTTTGAATTGTCTCCGTGGTGTAACCACTATACTTATCATTATTATTATTATTAATCTATATCACCATTATTTGTCCTTCCTAGTAGATTTATTAAGCAGTTTAGGAGAGTAATTATTGATGAATGTGATGTTCTTAATTTATCTTCTTGGTTCAAATCTTCCTTCTTATCAGTAAGTTTTTTGGTCCCATTACTTTAACATTTTATTAAACCTTCTCTGACTAACATAGGCTGTAAGGATTTGAAGTGTAAGTAACGATTGGAATATGAAAGTTTTCTATAGATGCTAGTACCTAAACTCCTGTGTAGCTATGATACGTCCGTCTGGGTATTCAACTTCCAACTGTGACCACAGGTTCGAACCCTGCTACACCTACTGACATCTGGGCTGTCAGACATTATCATAAGCCCCCATACATTAGGTGTGGCTCACCTCCTACTGCACAGGCGTGCAGAATGTACTGTGCAGCGATTCTCCCTGTCCTACTACATGACTGCCAAACATGGCCATTTAGAGGTGGAGGACAACATAAGAAGGCTTCAAGTGTTCAACCACCTTTGTCTTCACGACACTGGTTGTGTATCGTGGAACCATCGTTTTAGCAAATGTTAGGTGAAAGAGGGAATTCAATTGATATGACTATATACCTTCATCGACTTATCTGGTTGGGACGTATGTTATACATGTCTGTACAGCGTCTCCAGCGACGTTACGAAGTGGGATTAGGATGGAAAAGGTTAGAGGTAACCGGATTAAAAGGTGGCATCAGTAAGTGAAGTCCCCGACTTTGATCAGAGGTGGTTGAGAAATCTGGCTTCGTATGCTGTGATCCACGTGTGACAACGGAAATTAGTGGTTGGAGACTTTCGACGTTATGGTTCAGGACCGATCTCGGTGTTGCAAACACATCTACAAACTGTCATTATTATTATTATTAGTCCCTTGGGTTCTTAATGGAACATAGGGCTTCAGTAGCACGTCTCCAGTGAGCTCTGTTCTGTGAAATCTTTTGAATTTGGCTCCACGACAGCCCAGAAGCTCTCATTTCTTCCTCGCACGATCTCCTCCATGTCACGCTCGGATGCCCAACTCGTCGCTTCCCATCAGGGTTCCACTCGACGGCTTGGCCTGGCGCGTGATGTCCCTGAATGTACTTCTCAGTGCATGAGCAATCCATCTCCACTTCCTCCTGCATACTTGTTGAGCAATAGGTTCTTGGTTAGTTCGTTTCCAGAGTTCCTTTTTGCTTATTCTTTCTGGCCATCTGATCTTCAGTAACGAGCCAGCGTAGGCAGTTGTTGATGAATGTCTGTAGTTTGTTGGAAATTCCTTTCGTAACACGCCAAGTCTCTGAGCTATACAGGAGCACTGACTTGACATTGGTGTTGAAGATCCGGATCTTGTTTTTTATGCTGAGTGCAGAAGATCTCGCTCCACACTGGTTCAGGCTGACGAACACCTGTCTTACTTTTCCAATCCTGCCTTTGACGTCCTCATCTGTGCTGCCTGTAGTTGAAATGATGCTGCCAAGGAAGGTAGGTGAAAGAGACTACTTCCTTTGATGGTTGATGGTGATTGGAGCTTCTTGTTGCTGGTGGTGGTGGTGTTGGGTGGGTATCTTCATCACCTTTATCTTCTCTGAATCCACCTGAAGTCCCCTCTTCGCTGCTTATTCTGCTAACTTGTTGGTTTTCGCCTGTAGATTTTCAAGTTTGTGTGACATCTGACACAAGTCATCGGCGAAATCTAAATCTTCTAGGTTCTTTTCCGCGGTCCAGCGTATCTCTCCTCGCTCCTCACTGCTTGCTGCATGATACAGTCCATTACAATCAAGAAGGTCAGGAGTGATAGTAGACAGCCTTGTTTTACTCCTATCTTCACTTCAAAAGCATCACTGAGCTTCCCATTGTGAATCACTTGGCATATGGCGTCTTTATATAGTTGTTGAATGAGGTTGATAAAGGTTTGTGGTATTCAGCCAACTGCCAAATTACTTGTCGGTAGACGCTATCAAAGGCCTTTTCAAAGTCGATGAAGTTGAGGTGAGTTAGAGAGTTGACTGGCATTCCATACTCTGTTCTATGATGATGCGAAGCGTTGCAATTTGGTCCGCACATGATTTGTACGTCCTGAATCCAGCCAGCCTTTTCGGGTGGTGGTTTTGAATGCTGCGCATGTTTTAGTCTCTCCAGGATGATGCCGGCTTAATATTTTGCTTGGGGTGGACAGGAGCGTGATTCTACGCCAGTTGTTGCAAACACTTATGTCACCTTTCTTCGGGAGTTTGACAAGGTTGCCCTTCTTCCAATCCGTCGTCAGGTACCTTCCATTCCTTCCAGACCTTCCGCAATGGTGGTGTGATCATGTCCGCTGTTGTCTCTGCGTCTGCTCTCAGTGCTTCTGGCTAGATTCCATCTGGTCCCTCTGCTTTCCCACATTTCAGTAGGTTTATGGCTTTCAGGACTTCGACTTTCGTCGGAGGGCTTGTGTTCACTTGCAAATGGTATTTCCGGACGAAGTGGTCGATTCAAGAGCTTTTTGAAGTGGTCGGCTCACCGTTTCCTTTGTTTCTCCTCTTTGGTAATTAAATTTTCTTCATCATCTTTTATTGGTTTCACGTGAGTTGATCTCTTCCCAGATAGCAACCTGGTTATTTGATACAATACCGTCAGGTCTCTCTTACCTGCAGCCTGTTCTGCTTCACTTGCCAGTGCTTCGTAGAAGTGTCTTTTGTCTTTGCGTGCACTCTTCTTCACTTCTTTGTCCAGTGTTTTGTACGTTGTACTCAGTTCCTCTTGTCGTTGTGCATCTTTGCACTGTTTTATCTTCTGCTTCACCATCCTCCTCTCCCTCATCTATCAGCTTCCATGTGTCCGACGAGATCCATTCTTTGTCCTCTTTTTTGCCTTCCTAATACCGTTATGCAGGTTTCTTTCCACATCTCTTTCAAAGACTTCCAGTGTTCTTCCACACAGGTTTCTTCAGCGATGTAGCTCGATATCTTCCATTTGTTTTGATGGCTGCCGTGGAGATGTTCCTTTGTAGTTTCGTCCTTCAGTTTCCGCTTGTTGAACTTGAACTATGGTCTATCACCAACTTACCTGAAGGCTTTCAACTTGATTTGGAAGGTTCTTTGCACTAGATAGTGGTCTGAGCCTACATCTGCTCCTCTTCTTGATCTTGTGACAAGTAGGCTTCGTCTGCACTTTCTTCGCATTAAGATGAAGTCGATCTGATGTTTAGTGTGTCTGGTGAAATCCATGTTGCTTGCTTCGTGGATATCCTTGTGCTTGAACACAGTGCCTTTAATCACCAAATCGTTGAATGCACAGAATTCTGCAAACAATTCTCCATTCTCGTTCATCACCTCACCGAGCGCTTCTCGGCGCATCGTTAGTTCTCTTTCTGTGTTGTCCACTCCCAGTTTGGCATTCATGTCGCCCATTAGAATTTTGATATCACCAACTGAGGTCTTGTCCAGTGTTGATTGCAGTTGTCTGTAGAATTCCTCCTTCCTCTGTTATCTGCATTATTTATTGGTGCGTAGCGCAGCATTGCATTGAATGGTTGTGACTTTCCTTCCTTTGAGTTGAACCTTACTGTGATGATCCTGGAGGAGACTGGTTCCTACTGTCAGAGAGCCTTCGATGCTCTTGGAGACATCATGATAGCCACTCCTTCCATGTGCTCGTGGTTGTCGTCTGGGTGACAATATCGGAGTAGATTATTGACTCCTCTCCAGTTGACAGTTTGGAGAGTCCACTTCCGTTCCATCTACTTTCGCAAATTCCTAGCACTTCTCTGCCATACCTTCTCATCTCTTTGCAATCTGGACAGCCTTGCTAGGTCCATGTTCCCGTGTTTACTTTCGCTTTCATCGAGAGAAGACACATCGGCCAATTGGCTTCCCGAAGGCTTTCACCAACCGGCGTCATTTCGCCTCTCCAATTTCAGCGAGGAATAATTTTGTTTTTATTTTTTATATTTTGCTTGTGCTTCGAAGTTTCTTCAGCGGTTGGGTTTGTTTTACGGGGTAGGGTTGCTAGCCCTACGCCCAACCTTCCCTCTTTCTCCGGGCTTAGGACCGGCTAGTAACTAGTAAACTAGTTAACCAGGCGAGGTTACAAACTGTCATCATATTAACCCCTATTATCGCGTTTTGTTACTTGTTATACTCATTCTTCTTCTTCTCTCCTCATGACTTTCTGCTTCTGCTTAAAGTACTTCTATTTCTTAACCTTTCTTCTTGTTACTTTGTACCTTGATGTACTGAAGTCGGTTATCACAGCGTAGATCGCTAAGTAGTCGTGCTCAGTTCTTTTTTTGTGCTGTTTTTGAAACAGTATTTTACCGAACAGTCTTTTACGCATTATGAGTAAGTGAAGCCTATATGTGTATTTGATACTTCCCATCTTGTGGTCTAGGTAATCATAAATTATACTTGTTTTTGCAGGAATATTCGGAACCAGTAGACTGGCCATACGACCACCTTGTACTTTTTATAAATGCACTTGGCATTTTTAACGTCATATTCGGTTATGAGAGGGAAAACCTAGAAATGAATGTAGTCGGTCGTAGTAGTATGAAAATTCATATGAGTCTGTAAAAGAATAAAGAATATAACAATGTGCGCATAGCGAAATTGAAGAGTTATAAGAGCAAAGGTAATTCGTCGCTGCCAATGTGGTATTGTCATGGATTATTGAGGCTGGTCACTTGTAGTCTCTAATCATCAGTTTTTGCCATCTTCCGAAGATTAATCAGGATGCCTACATTTCTTCATACAGTTGACATCGATGAAAACAAACCATATGAATCAATCTGATTATTCTAACGTATTTGTAGGTCATTCAAGTCTGCGATTAGTGGTAGGATGTCATTAGTAACACATGTCTTAACCACCGTATATATTTTAGAACGAGTGTGAAATGGGATAACTCTGTATCAGCTATTATCCTTTCAACATTTCTAGTGAATTCAGCTACCTTTTATCCCCAAAAATAGCAAAATAGGCATGTTGCCTGAGCTTCGAAATCCTATAATTTTTCTAATGTTTTCAAACATGCTTTGTTGAAGTCCTGTCAAACTAGGTCAATAATAAAGACTTGCATTGATGTTAATTCATTATTGTTCATCATTTTTTACAAGTATTTATTTTTATGATGATGGGAGTTACTAAAAACAAATTCCCTCATACATTGGTGTAAGCCTTAACAAATAACAGAAAATGTTTCTGCTCATGCGTACACTCGTGGGTAAATGATGCGACCGCATATTTTTAATCTGATGGGCGAGTGTCAAACTTTCTGAGATTACGCACACATGTTGGTTGTCAAATATTTTACACTAATTGTATTCTAAGCCGAACTGAGAATAGAAATTTATGTGCCATTGAGAGGGCTGTTATCGTGGCTCTTTTAAACCAGGAAGCTCATTCATGTATCCCTAGTTACATATTCACCATATACTCTTGATTAGTAGCTATTAAGTAGTTTTAACCCTGAAATTCTCTCGTACAAAAGGCAAACTGTGTTTCGACTGTTGGCGTTTTAAAGATCAGTAGTTTTGCCCTAAATATTCTTGAAATTTGAAAGAAACTGATCGTGTATTAAACATTCATTGAAAAATTGTCTATACTGAAGTGGTTGGTTTCATAGTACATAAAGTCCTCATCGATACAATGTATTTCGGAATAATTTATGATGGATTTCACCTTTGAGATTTTTATAAGGTCGAATATATTTTATCTACAGATGGATTGTTTCAATAAACATCACCTTTATTTTTATACAGGTCAGATCTTACACGAGATACCAGTCCAGAATTCCTAGCTGCAAATGAAACCCACAGACATAGACTTGCATCATTTATCCGTCGTGAATTACGTGTACTTGCTCCATGGCTTTCCTATGAAGCTTCTTATAGTTCTCAAGGAAATCGTGAAGATTCAGAAGATACTGGATTCTATAACGCCGCTGTAACAGCACCTCTTATATCGGGTGCTCCTGGTTTGGAGGTAGAAACGAGAGAACTGGATGATTTGACAAACATAGTTTTACAGCATCTCTGTACAGTTCCAATTACAAACGAGCAAGCACTTGTTAGCCTTTTGGCAAGTCAACCAGCTCTTCATTCATCCCTTGTACCTAGTGTTTACCTCCGTCACTTAGCTTCAGAAATTTTGCAGTTCGCTCAGTTCACTGGAAGTATGGAAGAATACGACTCTTCTATTTCTTTATATCGGCGTAGGATAACTTTGAGTGGACTGGTTACGTCAACTGAAAGGAATAGAAACAGACATCCTCAGCGTTTTCGTCTTGACCCTCGTTTGGCTGTGTATATTGCTTCCGCTTGTTGGCCTCGTATTCGTCCTGGTTTTACCCAACCGGAGGGCCTTATAGTCCATCCTCTGATCAACTGGCTACTTCAAAGACTTTTCGTTCATGCTGTATCTGGCACTTCTCATCCTGACCCTCTACCAGGCACTGGAGATCCTCCACCTACCTTACCAAGTCCATTAGTATTCCATGGACCTTCTCTAACATGTCATCCCAACTGTCTGCGTTTGGCAAGTTCTAGTCATGCTCTTTTAGAGGCCATTATATCCTTCTCTAGATTGAGAGGTCCAACGGCCGGTCGAACTATTAACTTGAGTCCTGATGTAGCAGTCAGCGTCTCTGAAATTTTTCCCAACCGGCTTTTGTATCAACGCATACTGAGTGAATTAATAGATCATGCACGGTTCAGTGAGGCTCTCAGCGGTCAATTCAGTCAATATAATGATCGTACCAGAGTGACAAGTCTAACATCACAAGTTTCAGAAGAAAATCGACTTAATTCAGTGTCAAGTAATCTTATTGGTAATAGAGTTTCTATCCGCAACCTTATTAGTGTGTCAGAGCCAGCTACTTGCCTGCAACCAGCTATACGATCATATCCATTTGCATTAAGACGTCTAGATGGTCTTCTACTTCTTTTCACAGCTCGAGTGCCTGGTTTAAGAAATGATCCCGAGCATCTGGTTAGTGAATTACTTCATATGCCACTTATGCCAATGACTATAACCCCTTTAACTGTAATTGATCTCACTAATTCAAGAACAGCGGTTAGCAGATCACAAACATTTCCTACGCAATCAGAAAGTCGATCACAGTCTTCGGAGAACTTAGACACTGTCAGAGCACCGTATGCTTCAAGGTTCTCAGGAATTGACTGGAAATTCCTAAGACAGCTTCCATTTTCTTCATATTCTCAAAGTGATCCCCCTCCTAGTTCATCAACTACTAGTAACAGGGTTTCTAGTGATAGTGGCTCTACTTATTGGAGTCCTTCTATATCGAGTCAACCAACAGCATCTAGTGATGCTTCACCTTTTCCAGGTAGTCAGCTTTTTTCCTTGCTATCATCTGTAGGAGTAATAACACCAGTTGAAGTGTCCACATCAACTCATAATTCACCTAGTGGTTGGCGAGAAACTGCTCCATGTGTTGTTATATCATCGGATTCCTCTGATGAAGAATCTGTAGACTATCATGGGACGTGTGAACCACCAATTGAGTCCAATGTGCTTACTTCTGATGAATCTGAATCTGAGCATAATTCATCAGCAGACAACTCAATAGATAGATGTGATTCTACTGCATCTCTTGGCTCACTATTCAAGACATTTTCTAATATGCCTCTGCAGAAAGAAACGTCAGTTGCGAATGAATCTTCTCTCATAGTGCTAGAAACTGAAAACAATAAAACTAATAGTCATTCGGTTGCCACGGGAAGCAACGTAGAAGCTATTAATATACAAAACAATACTACAACATTATCAATTAACTCGTCGCCTACATGCACCCACAATGCAAATTCTAATTGGGATGATATCATTTGTGATCGGCAGTCATCAACTGCTCGTCGTGAGGAACCTATGGAAGTAGATGAACGACTTGATGAAGTGTCTTACGTATCAATCCCATCATCTAGTGATTTCAGAACATCCTTATGTAATCCGTCTGCAAAATCTTTTTCTACTGCATCTGAAGGTAAGTATACAATGGAACCACATCCTCCAAAACATATTGAAGCTACCAGCAGTGCATCTAGATCAAATATCTTATCACCTAGAAATTCATTAAAGCAGTATTATCATCCCCAAACAAAACAGGAGTCACATCATCATCGTAAACGCAAAGTAAATATCAATATAGAAAACACTGATAGCGATTGTGAACTTGTTAGAGAATCAATCAGAATAGACAGTGATTCTTCTTGCCTAACGTTTAGATCAACATCATCCAGGTCCTCCTCTTCATCAGATGACCATCATCACAGTTTAAAGTTCAGTCCTTCAGTAATTCGTTTTTGTAGTCCTTCATATCGGCGTAAAAATCTTTGTCGGAGACACCGTCATTGCCGGCACAATCATTATAAGTGTTGTCGTCATACTTGTCATTACAAGCATTCATGCTGCTGTTATTGTCGTTCTAAACTTCATAAACGACCCACTCACAGACATCCACAGGACCCTGATAAATTGGTCAACTTAAATAATCCATCTTCTCCGGTTATTATTTCGGATGATGACAGTGATGAGTCTAATGATATTGTTCTTGAAACTGGAGGTGATTCTGCACTTACCAATCAGCATTTATATTCCCCAAATCAGGGAGTTGCGCAGAAAGATGTAGCTTCATTGCAGTCAAAACTTTCACATGATTGTCTTGCTAATGAGGATAATTCATTGTCTTTCTCGACTGATACTTCAGTCCTTGATGCTGCATCTTGTCATCCTATAGGAGAATGTTCTTCTCCAAGTAAAGTTTATAATACCGAGTCTAGTTCAAAACCACATGTTTCACCTGTAAATAATTTGTCTAGTTCTGCAACAAATTTCCCCATATTCGAACCTCCCACTGCATCTGAATTTTATCGTTTAATGGCTAAATTTGAAGATACTAAACATTCGGAATCTAGTGCCAGTGAAATAGTTCCCGTACGATCATCATTGTACGACAAATGCAATCAAACGGATGATGAAATTTCACATCCTTCCCTTTCTACCCCATCAAATTGTGAAAAACAAAGTACAAGTTCGCTTAGTGTCAAGTAAAGTTGGGTTAACATGTAAGTTGAACTAATCTAATTGTAATTTTTAATCTGCATAAACTCGCGTTTATTTTTGACACTCTCATAGTCTACTTTTATTCTTCAAAATTAATTTTTGATTGTATATTCCACTTAAATGAGCATATGAAACGTAATTATATTAGGATTCTTACATTCACTAGCCTTTACGATGTCAACCTTATACCCTTATGTAGATAAATTGCATATTTTGTTTGCTTTTTTCTTCTCTTGTTGTTGTCTCTCGTTAATAATTTGAATTTTCTTTGTTAGGAGAAGTAGCAGTTGATTTCGCTTACTTGTTTTCCAAACTACTTAAATCCATTGTATTTCTCTCTTTATCTTAATCAGTTGTCCTATGATTTAATAATGATCATTACATTGTGTAAAGGATTTTACAAATATATCTATCAGAAAGTTCAGACGAATACATAGATCAATTAGTAGTGCGATTTTGTAATGTGTACCCATTTTTACAGTGATGCACCTCATTGAAACCGCTGTAGCTCTACTACCGTAAGGGAAATAATTTTCAGTGCTGTATTGTATTTCAAAAATCTCTTTGTGTATAGATTAATAATGTTTAAGAAAACGATCATTGAAAGGACTCCCAAAAGGTATAGGAAAAGTAGCTTAAGATTGAGTATACTTCCACGAAATCATCTTCAAAAGCTGTGCAGTCACACGCTTATACCAAATTCTGACTATATATACAAGAAGGAGGAATAATATCAGTGGGTTTCCTTCATGAATTCTATAACAATTTTATGAGCAAAGTAAAATTATATAAATATCCATATGGGATTTGTAAAGCACCAACAAGCAAGGTGGTACATATAAAAAATCGAAGTATTTTCATAAGATAATCAAAGTATTTACGAATGGTGAAAAAAAACCAAAAGGCATAGCAATAAGCAAAGTTGGGATTTCATTGCCTAGAAACCCAGAGTTGCTTAGATTATTGAGTATTGCTCAATGTATCATAGAAATCTGTTAGGGGCAATTCAGTTTGAGTAACATAACTGCATATTTAATAAATGAGTTGTAATCAGGTTATGTACAGAAATGAAGAATAGTTAACAATATGTAACAAATAAAAGAGTTAGAACAGGGCAGGGATTCGGAACAGACAGACGAAATCAACGTGGAATCTTGCACTCTTGCCATCAATTCGAGTCACCACACTTCAAGGTAAAAAACAGGTGAATAGAAAAAGTGATATCAGAGTAGATAAAGTAGTGTAAGGGAATAAACAGTCTGAAGATGAAAGTTGGTGTGAATATTGAAGGTTTAGAAGATCTCAAGGGGTAAATATATCTGCGCCATTGTGGCCGATTTTCAGCCATGTTACTAAGTGTCCTCAACCACTGATTCATTTTGTCTCAGGGACTCCAACCAGCCAGACTTCATTGACTGGTGCCATGCCTTGGTCTGGCCACTCTGAACCCTTTTCCATCCCAATCCAACTCCCCCTAGCATGGCATGTTGAGGTAGGTGACCAATCGGCATCTACAGTACATGTCCAAACCATCTCAATCGACTGACGTTCATAACCTTGTCAACCAACTTGGTTGTCTCACCTAGTACCTTTTGCCTGACCCAAACATTGCTCACACAGTGATTTCACCAATCTCTAGCAATGCTACAAAAACACTTTTGGTCGAAAAACTGTATCTGTTTCACGTTTTTTACTTTTAACGGCCGTATAACATGACAGAACGAACTGCAGCGCAGTTGACTTTTCCTTCGATAGATAGTGAGATATCTCGCCATTCGGTACCACAAATGACGCACGTTGAAAAATGCCAAAAGGCTTTCTGTACACGAGCTGAAATTTCGTCAGCAACCAGCTGATGCAACTCCTTAAGTAAGTGAAATGCTCGACGTATCCACCACTTCGCTTCTCATATCATTTTTTTGGCTTTGAATCATTCGCATTCACGATTGACTTTACCAGCATAGGCCATATAATCTTCGGAAAATAATTTGGATAATTGAAAGCACGGATATCAAATATTAAGTGCAGAGAAGTGGTGTGATCACCAAATATTTGTTATAAAATGTAAACAGTTTCATCAAATGACGATCCACAAGATCCTTCGGTAGAATAAAATTGATATATCTGTTGCAGTCGCTAGTGCCAAGTTTTTGTAATGATCATCGAACTTTGGCTGCATCATCAAACATAAGGCATTCAATGCGAAAAACATCTTCATATCGATTATACCACGAATCAAATATGAAACCAGATTTTGGTTCATAATGAAACTCACGGATGAATTTAGAAATGCTTTTATATTTATCTGCATGAGACTGATAACGACTGAATCGACAAATTCTGTGTTGGAGCTCCGATTAACTTCAGTTGAGATGCTTTATTTTTAGCTTTCTGAAGTTGATGACAAGTCGGATCGACATCTACATGCCATTTAGGTTCAATCTGGATGTTGGGACACTTGAGACGTGGCTCTGGGCTAGTTGAACGTGCTTCATTGTTCTGTCCAACGTTGTAGCTGCGTGTCCAGAGTCGGTATGAGCGTCCTATTCTCTTCAATGCTCGTTTCACTAACCATCATCTTCTTTCCGGTATCCTCAAGCTAAATGGTTACCCGGTGTCAGCCAGCGCTAATCCCTTCTTCAACTGTCGCGTTCGCAATCTACCACCGCTCGCGATCAATGCGAAGATGTTTAAATTGCTTTTGCTCTTCATCTTGGTCATATCCATCTGGAATGGGTTTTTTCGCATCAACCAGTTCGGATGACGTTGCGGAAATCCAATAACGTTTGCTAACCTTCGGGTGTAGCTTACCAATTGTCTTTACCGCTGTTTCTACAGCAGAAATGATATCACACCAGGTTTCCTCAGGATGAGCGTTGCTGTCACGTTCAGACAAATGCTCATCTAACTCCTCTTTAAATACATACGTCATTTTCTCATCTTCCAGTCATGCACGAAATGGGACCAGTAAGGCTCAGGTAAACGCATGTCCATACTAACGGCGTCATCAGAGTTCAAACATACTCATGAAGGAATACTAGTCTACCACCAGTCTTCCTGAACGATGACTTTTGGCGATATGATTTTTCTGTGTCCATCGTTGGTTCGAAGTCGGCGGACGCCAAGTGAGACTGTTTCTCCTTATGCTTATAGGTAGTTCTGGCCGGAAATAAGTGATTGTCAATAAAAAACTGCAACAGACAATTACTATTTTCGGTTCATTGGCATGAGATTCCGTAAGTACCTCTAAGGTGCCTTTCCCTACTTGAGCGTTAAAGTCACCTACTATTACGACTGCACCCGAACGTTTTGCTTTCTGTAGCAAAATTGAAAAATTCTCGCAAAATTCACTTGCATTATATGAGCTGCAGTTGGTGGCTGCGTATGCAGAGATTACGAATAGGTATCGGTTAGTCTCACGATCCTTCCTAGTTCTTAAAGATTCATGCATCCGAGCAGCATGCAGAGAGCTGCTAACTGGTATATCCAGTCGAGGAGCACGCCTTCTACTCACTTCCGTGTCCACATCAGAGTATCCACCACGAGAGCAAGCCCTTTGGTCTCCGGACGCTCGTAAGGTGAATTTTAAAGATTCACCGCATAAACCAGGTGTGTGGTGTGAATAAACACACTAATGTCCCGTAAAAGTACGTATCTCAGTGACAGCATACATCCATGGCTAGAGACTTCAGAGTTCTGGACAGCGATCCTTGCTGTTCATTTTGACATAGAGCTCCTACATGAATTCGATGGCGCGGTCTTAGGAGACTAGGAATGAAGTTACGATTGTTTTGATTGTTGACAACGATCTCAGAATGAGATGTTGGGGAAGGTGTAAGAGGCCTGATACTAGCATCAGAGGTGAAGCCAAAAGAGTTGACACAGTTGAGGAGGACAGATTATGTTTAATTGGGTCCTGTTTACTACTGCAAGAGACACTTCCCAGTAGCCCAAACTGTAAAAGGCTATTTCTTTTTCAGGTACCTGAAAGGGAAAAACATTTGTGACCGCAGAGATCATAGAACATCTGCTTAAGGCCTATGACGTACAGCCTTTTTGGGGTGCGGTTTTGAGGTTTGATTGTTCTACCGCCGAACATAGAAAACCTATATCTGAAGACCGTGGGGCAGACAGGAGTGTGATATTTTTTGGGTTGCCCATTCTAATTCTTCTTTTCAAAGGGAAGGCAGCACCAGCTTGGCACTGCAAACAGTTTGGCTTCGCCCCCAACCCCCCCATCATGGTGTAGCTTTTACACTACAACGGTACTTGGTTTTCGTCTTACCACTATCCAATAAACTTTTCTGGCACGGTAGGGGTACGAGGAAACAAGCATTACGACCTGTGTGGCTCGTTGGGTCACTGCTACCCAACCACCACATAAGGTAGTAACTGTCAGCCCGGGATCACCATGACAGTAACGTAAAGTCATTCATAGAGTTTATTTGAAAAGGAGGTCACCTGTAGAGATTTTGAACCTTCATCGACGGAAATATCTCGGACATGTTTTATGCACGCCGGGTCTCGGTCTTCTTTGTTACACAACGTTAGCTGAAATAGGTTTAGGTTAGAAAAAGGAGATAGGAGGCCAGACTAAGTATTTGCATCAGTCATTGAAGTCTTCAGCCATTTGTCTGAGCTGTACTGAGGGATGCAGTCTTTCTGTTTGATGTCCAGGTGACAAGAGAAATAATTTGTTGGAGACTGTAGGTGAAATAGCTCAGAATGGATATCAGTGGTGCAGATGTATCCGCACATTATTTTCATTTTGATTGTCATAGTGAATTCAGTATTTACTTATTGTTTTTTCCTCTTCTTGCTACTTTCTACTCCCTTTGACCGATTCTTCTTTGATCTGATGGCTTTCTTGGTTGTTGTTCTAGTATGAATCGTAGCAACTTGCACCATTGCGTAGTAACTGCCTGTCCCATGCTGATGTTGATTGCTGTCAATCCTCCTGACCCCAGCATAATACTGACGGTAGCTAC